AAAAAAGGGACATAACTACTTAAGAGTACTAAGACTTGTTTCTCGTCTCTATGAATTTGCAGATATGAAATTGGATCTACCTCTATACAGTCTATACATAAAAGAGTTTGTTTCGAAAGCATCCTGCAATACTTGAGGAGAAACCTTCTCATCAAACCTTGATACAACCTTCAGTTGGAACTGCTGAACGCAGGTGTGAACCTTGGCTGTGGGTCATGGCGCCGGGGTCGCTTGGTTGACCGAAAATGAAAGAATTGCCTACCAGACATGGTTAACCAGGTTTCGACCCACAGCTAAAAAAAATCATCCTGAGGAGAGCCTCTTGATGCGAATAGGTTAGCCTAAATCACCCCAAACGGCTGTTTGAAGGCTGAATAATGCAAATATCCCACATGTCACATGTCCATGAATTTTCTAGATTTCTTGTGCCAGGTCAGACAAATACACTCATTGCATTATTTCTGAACTTCATACGGGTAAGTGGATGACCATGTGTCACCACTATAGATGTGATGTTCCAAAAGGTTCCAACTCAAGATATTTCTGTGTCCCAGCAAAGCCTGACCTTTCGCTACGGAATCCAAAGTTCCTGAAACTCGGCCTTTCAATCCACCCAACTTCCCCTTTTTCACTGGTGGCACGATGCCCAAAAAGCCCTCCAGGCTCAACATCCCCGAGTGGAAGTGCGTGCTGGCGCAGCCATGGCCCTCGAGCGCATGGCCCGAGCCAGGGCGCCTGGCATCGGAGGGTGTTGACGTGGACCCATCAACTGACTGGGACGTCGTCGTCGCCACCCAGTCAGTTGGTGTCGACGGTTTTTGGTGTCGCGTCCACGTTCCTGATGGAGGAAGAGGTAGACATCACGATTGGACATGAAGACGGAAGACGTTTTGAAACAGAAACGACGTGTTGGGTGGAATGACTTGGTGTGACGAAAGGTAGGATCCTGAAGTGGAATCTCTATTGGGGCGGAACTTCCTTTCCATTTCCCGGCGAGTCGCAGTCTGATTATAGAGGTCCAACAATGCAGGTGGTGGATGGAGGTGGATGGTGCTGGGACCTGCTTTGGTTGAAAGAACAACTGTATCACTCTTGGTTTGGGAAGGATTATTCGGAGCTACTAATATTCACGGATGTTTTTGAGCCATCAACTTAGTCAGAAACAGGTCAATTATGCAACTATGCAAACCAGGAGTTCCAGGCGGGTGTTTATCAATGTAGGAGGGGTCCTATAGTGTCTCCTGAAAAGGAGATATTACTCGGTGTCGGTGCAACCAGGAGCCATTCCCTCCTAAACTATTGATGTTTTTTGCTTACCAAAGATGACTGGTACTACTCCGATCTGCTCTTCTTTTCAAGGGTGAGAATCAAACACACTGGTATTTTGATGTTGATGTATTTCGACCACCTTACTATACCATACAAAACCATGTTTCAATATTGTTTGACAAAGATACAAAACAATATTAACACCATCAAAGAAATGATACAAAACCATCAAAACATATCTAAATTTCTTATTTGTTAGTTTGGTGTAGTTGCTTTTTTGGGTGTCCTCTCAGTGGCTCCGGGCAGTGGCTCCGGGCAGTGGCTCCGGGCAGTTTTGACCTCTCCGAAGCAGTTGCTTCTCGAAGCAGCTTCTCCGGAACTGCAGCAGGTGCGGCAGTTGATGATGTTGCTCCATCTTGGGTTCAAAAATGGCTAAGTGGTGCGAATGCTCATATATATATATACTTAGGGTCTGGTTTGTCCTATTAACACGGCCTTTACTAACCATCATCATCCACTGATACAGGTATTAGGATAGACCCAACATATATGGTCAAATTGTCATTGTTTTCTCTGTGTGTGTGTGTCTCATGATGAGTGCGACGAAGGTAGCCACCACTGTTAAACCAAGACACCGGAACTTATACATGTCCAAGGGCGCGTCGACCTTTGCCCCGAATGTCCATGGGTGCATGTAGGGTATGACATGTAGCCTAACCCGACCAAAACGGGCGTTTGATTCACAGGTGTTCCTTGCCTCAGAACAGGTGTTCCTTGAGTCTTGAGGGCCTCGAATTGATTTCTCCCGAAGAAACATCATGAAACATCTAATTTGATCATCGCCGGACCCAGGCTAACTCTGCGAGTCAGAGATAGCCGATAGCCTAAGTGGTTTTCTCAAATCTAATGTTCCGAAAATCCATATCTCCTGTGCAAAGGACGTGCTATGGCAGCATGGAACTGAAGCTGTTGTTTCACCCAGTTGCTGAGATGACCTGGCAAGCCTATCACAGCTACCGCGGAAATACCCAACCCCGCAGCTTGCAACGACTGCAGAAAATTCACCCGTCGAAGAAAGGTCGGTTCAAATTCAGCCGCAGATGATGGCAGAATATCTCCAGCTCTACCAGGAGGAAATACGTGAAAGCATCGATTTTACTGGGGCCAGTATTTCCTCTCGCTTTGACAACATGTTCATGTTTTTCCAGACGTTGGAGCATGAGCGCACACTTGCGGTTGGAGCATGAGCCAGTAATAGCCAGTATATATGCCAGGGCTTTCACAGACTAGTACCTCACCTCCACTTTCATTATTATTATAACATGTGGATCTTGCCGGCAGGTACTATATAAATATTAATGACTGTATATTGCAATGAAGGTAAAGTAAACATGTACTGTATATAGTATACTATTCAGTCCGGCAGTCCGGCAGGTGTTTGTGTTTTTTCTTGTCCGATCACCATCTGACCGTACCTGCCTCTCTTCCGCCAAGTGCTCAGTACGTCCCACCGAGTCAATTGGGAAACCGCGCTTTGGGAAAACCGAGGTCTTGGGAGATCTGGCGCAAGGTGCGCGGCCGAACCGCAAACCGCAAAACCGCGTGGTGTGGCGTTCATGGGCATGATCCTCTTTTTTAGTGTTTCTTTGTGCGTCTTATTGCGTGTTTTGGGATTTTTTGGGTCTATCAGGAAATGCCCAACACCTGGGCCAAACACCATTGAGATGATCCGAGTTCGCGTAATTACTGTATGGATCGTCTCATTCAGACTCATCAGACTCGCGTTGCTCCTTTCACCCATCAAATGATTGAGCGTGGGATGGATTGAGCGTTTCGTCTAGTTGACTACACAAATACTTGAACACCGTGCAGCCGCAGTTTCGTCACCTCCAGTTTCTGAAAACACTCAACAGCCTTGGCAGATGCTCCCTAGGTGTCATATGCTGTGGTATGTATTTGTTGACCATGAAAGTCATTGAACATCTAAGAGACGCAATGTTTTTACACCATGTCAAGATGTTTGGAAGGAGACTCCAAAACCAATTCGAGACTCCAAAGAGTTTCATCACGTTTTTGGTCCAGGAGTCCAACAGCCGATCAATGAAACGATGTGGAACATGTATCAGGAGATATCGTTATCAGGAGTTATCGTTTCAGTTCTATGTGACTTCTGCTCTGCTATCAACTTGTAGAGATAGACTGTCATTAGTATATTTATAAGCTACCTCAGGACATGTTCAGCATATGTTCATTGAGAATTATTGGACAACAAATGTGATCAATCCTTGGAGTCTCTTTCCAAAAATCTTGACATACAGTAATTCTCGGACCATGTCGTCCTTCGGAAGAACGAAGTCCAAACGTGCGGGCAGGCCTTCCATCCAGTGACCAAGCAGCGGCATCCAGATTGGCGGAGGCCGCGGTTTCGGCCAGAGGGAAGACCAGACGCCACACACGGCCTTTGGCTGAAACTGAAGTCCGTTTTTGGGCAGAGAATGAAGGAGAAAGCCTTTGTTTTCAGGTGATGGGTGGATCACCAGCTCGCGACCACAGAAAGCTCAGAGGGGCTGAGAGGTGAGGAAGATGAGAACAGATTCCATGTCCATCGCATTTGGGGAGAGTTTCTCAGTTCATCCCCGTAACTGACGGGACATACGGACTGATCTTCCTGCCGGTTCTTGCGCGTTCTGGCGCGTGAGACCGCTTGCTCGCTTACTTGCGGACTCAGTTTGGATGTTGGAGCATTTGAAAACGAGAGAGAAAACCACGAGAAAACCATATAGGTTTTAATATGTGCTCTTTAGTGTACTCTGCAGCGGTTCCCACAGCCTGGTGGAGAAGATAAGGTGTCACCTCTTATATGAGCTTCATAGTCGATCAGTGAAGAATCCGTGATCCAAGCACTACACATATGGATTTTTGTTGTCAAAGGTGGAGGTGAAAACCAGAACTTGTCACCTGAAATGACAACAATCCGCGAAATAGGGCGAATCAAGTGGCGAATCGCCATGGAACAATCCTTAACAATCCTTTGTCCGGCACTGAATACCATTACAAATGCAAGAGAGCACGAAAGTGCTAGATTTGGAGTATACGATAAATGGGATCTGCATTAAAACAGGGAGATCCATTTTTTTTGCGCAATTGGGAAGAGCAAAATCCATTGGTCCAGGGATATCTATCAAAGATGACACATACCAGGATCATCCTGTTTGGGTGCCCTGTCTAGAGATCTCCAAGTAGGCTGGGTAGTCCAGCCAGGACGCCCATTTTGGATGATGGTACTTCATCTTCAGAATTACCATACATCCCCATGGACTCCCAATCCCCAACAGACTGTTGATCAAATATCCGTTCTTTGGGAGTGTAAAACCCGACACCGCGACGTGTGTCCCGCCGGTCGGGCGGCGTTGACGCCGCCAGAGCTGAGACGTGAGGCGGTGGTGGCCTCGTTGTGCGAAATCCTGAAGCAGCCGGGCTCCAAAGCCTTGAGATGTACCTTGCAGGCCAAGGAGGAGCCTGTTTAGCTGGAGAGTTGTTGGTTGGGCGAGTTCCGAAGAGGTTGGAATCCCCGGAGGTTGACGGAGACCTGTTGGATTTTGGAAAGGAATGATGTAATTCTGGTATTCTGGTGGTTGTTTGCTTGATTGATATGTATGTCATGTGTATGCTTCAAACCCTGAACACATTTTGAGTCTATGACATGGCCGGAAGGACAGTGTTTTCATCAATTCAGTCTCGCAAAGGGTACGTGAGTTTTCCCTCAGGTTGGAACTGCAAATTTTTGGGGAACAATTATGCAAAGCTTATCAGACGTTTGTTTAAGCATGTTCAATGGACCGAGGAACATTCTGATGGTTCGGTCGACACACGAGGAATACATCAGGTAGAAGTTCACAAAATAGAGGGAAGGCAACAGTTGCCTGCTGATGCAATGAACATTTCTCTCACCCAGACTGAAGTGATAGACACCCGACTACATCACCAAGCGAAGACTTGTGTTGCAACAACTCATTCTCAACTTCATTGTATAGATCTGTTTGGTAATTAGACTCCATTCGATTCAAGGGAAGCTCTGCAAACAGAATAGGGTTCAAGTTTGTCTTGCATGTCTAAGAATCCCTGCGGCCTCCTTCCTCTCCTTTCTTTTTCGTGTTCATTTAGAAGTGGTGTTCACACATAGAAGCGGATGAGAGGATTTGAAGGCCTGGATGTTGCCCACACCAGGAATAGGCCTTCTTGCCCAAACCTGCCCAAACCTGATGAACCTGATGTGGTGAGATCGTTTAGACCTCGACGTCGGGGCAGTTCGTCGAAGCTTCTTTCGGTGGGTCCGTCGAACTGTACAGCCGCCGGCTCGCACTGCCCTAACCGGGCCCCTAGTCCGAAGCAAGAGATGTGGTGGGGGCCCGGCCCAAGGAGCATTTTTCAAGCGAGTCAGGGCTGAAACATGTTAGAGTTGATTTGAGCAACATCATGGGTGCAAGCGCATGGATTTTCCCAGGGTTCATGGACAGTTGGGCATCAGCAAGACGGAAGACGTTGTATGTAGTGCACCTGTGACCCCTCAGTACAGGCATGGAGGAACTGCACAAGACTCCTTCACATGAATAGTCATGAATATCATGGCCCACTTCGACTGTTTGAGCTGTGTCCTTAGTGGTTTGTTGATTTTGCTGATTCGGAAACTATGAACAAACACCCCTTTCAGGACGGACTAGTACTAAGGACGGAGAGTTGTCGAATTCTGGACAGTTGTCGAATTCTTCCTTGGACTTCGAAAAATTGGAACAGCACTGAGATACTGAGATACATTATATAATGCACCAACTCGTATTTTGAAGTGCTCAGCCCAAACTTCACCAATCCACTGTTTGAAACTCCAAGCTACTCAGTCAAATCATTATCCAAGTATATTTGATCTTTGTGAAATATATGTCATATATTATACTGTATCATTACCATTCACTGTCCACCTGTCTCCATCGTTTGTCAACCGGAGAGCGGTGTCCACCAGTCGCTCGGACGTCGAGACGGTGTCCACGGACAGCGGTTCTGGAGGATTTGGATTGCTGCCCGGGCTTTTGGACTTTGGCGGGCCAGTCCGCCGTGGCTCGGCTACTGGAGAGCTGGTGGAACTGGCGGTGATGGTGGTTGGATTTGGGGTGCTGGGGGAGGTCTTCCATGAATCTCCCAAAAAAACAGAGGACTGAGTTCTCGAATCCAATGGGGCCCCCCCCCCATTTCTTAGACTCCAATCCAGTTCTCGACCATGAGCCAGTCGAGTGGTAATTACCCAGGATGGCAAGCATCAAGCATGTTCCAAATTATTGACTGCCCCGAACGTCGTTGAAAGCTTTAACCGCAATTTGCGCCATCACCGTAATTTCAATCATGGCCTGACGCATTTGAATAGGTTACAGTACTGTATGTTTTCATGAGTTTCGAAGGCTTCTATGGTCATGATATGGGTGTGTATGGTCATGATACGGGTGTGTATTAAAATAGGGAGACCTTCCAAAGCACCCCTGCAAGAAGGGAAAGAGCAAAACCCACTGCTTTGGGGTCCCCCTATTAAAATGCACATCCATATGCATCTGAGTTTCTACGTCCTGCGAGCCTGCGAAAAGCCCTGCGACGAGTCTGCTCCTTTTTTTGATACCAAAAGCTCTTCAGGAAATACATGGCCAGTCTCCTTCTAGCGGAGCCCAATAAGTCCCAATGGCACTACTCAGACTACTCAGATTGATATTTTTATGGGGGGGTCTGTGCTTGTTGGGGAAGACAGACAAAGCAGCGAAAGCAGTCATTTTTTGCATTCCTGGGTCATTCACCGTCGACCATGATTTTTGGTTCTTTTTTGGTTGTTTTTTGCTTGCTGAAGTAGATGCGGCTGAATCCATGCCTTTTTTGGAGGAGTTATGTCGGTTGATGAACTTTACCAGTTTTCCGTGGATGCATTACCATAGATCCCCTTTATTGCTTTGTCATGGTTGTTTTCATGCGGTTGGCGGTCTACAAATGGGATTGGAAAGTAGAAAGACTCTCCGCCAGACTGGACAAGGACAACTAGACTCCAAACCAATTGGGCCAACACGGGTTTCCCAGAATTTCCCTATCTTACCGGAAGGGGAGACCGACAAGAAAGCTACAGACCCACTCTCCCGGCCTCCTGAACACTTTAACGACCCACATGTAAAGATTCCGGCACCTTGGGCTGAGCCGGGCCTGAGGCTGCCTCCCTGGCGGCTGCTGCAGGATCGCGTCGCTCGGAGGACGGCAGAGAGTTGAAGACGTGGAAGGGGAGTGTGCCGGTGGAGAGTTGAATGGGTCTGTTGGTTGGGCTTTGTTGAGAGAAGTACAGGCAGGCAGTTCCAATGTTGACCTTAAGAGTGTTCAATTGCCTATAGTTTTTCCTTGATTGTCGACCTTCCTTTGATCTTTGATGGAAGATGTATGGAGTATCCAAATGTTGCTTAATCTTTTGCTTTGGGCGTCAAAAAGACTGGACATCTCCGATTCTCTCACCGGTTCGATTCCAAGGGTGAATCGGGAGGTGGACCTGCATGGCAGGATGTGGAAGATTCGGAGGATGAGGAGCAAGAGGACGAGGACGAAGCTTGGTGGGAAAGGAATGCGTGTGCAGGTGGTGGACACGGTACAAGGTGAATATAAGGCAATTCACTTGGATATCCAAACAATAATAACATATACTGTATGTTGTTTAGAGGAATTGAAGGCATCATTTGGATGCATTGCTAACTAAGGATGATTGATTGAATTACAAGAAAATATTTTACATAATAGTAAGGGCTCCGCCCTGGTGCCGCCGACCCTTTAATGAAAAGACATTGACATGACCATCTTTGATGTCAGAAGTTCAGAAACTCAAATAAAGAAACCTGGCATATACAAACCGCAAGTTGGATGGCACAATGACATGGGCTAGCTCATGCAGGAAACTGATGCAATCTAGCTGGTATGCTGGGAACTAACACGGTCTGTCTTGGGGTGTGCATGCCATGCCCAAAATTCATGAAACTCTACAAGGTTCCGCAGACTTGTGTTGGTTCAGAAAGTTTTGCCGAGAATGCCTGCAAGACTCGACACACCTCATCCACCCGATGGTGTCCACACCTCTAATTCTTTTTGGCCGAGGGCCACACCTCACCCTGTGACTCTGGTGTGTCTTGAACGGGAGAGAAATGAGTCGGAGCAGAGAGAGAGTTGTGTGCTTGC